CACGCACACGCACACGCACACGCACACGCACACGCACACGCACACGCACACGCACACGCACACGCACACACACACACACACACACACATACACACACACGAGTGTGCAACGACTACATTTAAACGGAAGCTTATTACTCACGTTTGCTGAACACTTGCAAAATAAGATACGAAACACATGGGTACTGCATGCACCTTGGCCCACCACACACACGCACGCACGCACGCACGCAGACACCGACACACAGTACAGGCGAAAACATGCCGCAGGAACGGTCACCGCACCGTACAACTCTGTAGAAACACCGACAGCCAGAAGACGAGCGCTAATTCCTCGAAACGAAAAAAGACCACGTTGCCGCCGCGGCCGCCGCCGCCATTGTCGTAGGAAAACCGAAATAACATCTTACGCACGGCAGATCGAAGAAGCGTGCATGCGGCCGGGCGTTGACAGAGAGCAGCGGGCACGTGGCAGGACCACCCGACACTCACGTACGCCAATAGTTGCTGCCGTCGACAGTAGATGGCGCGATCATAGCTCTTGTGAACGTCCTCACAACAGGGGAAGATGAAGGAGAGGGGGGCACTATACAAACCAATGGGTTCTCCCGAATCCTTGGGCTATTGCACACAGGATAGTCTTCGACTGAAATGCGAAAAAGAAAGGAAATATTTCTCAAAGCAAAACCGATACTGACTACAAGCGAGAGCGAAGCAGAACCAACACACGAGTTGGCAATTTTCCTAAAACGAACCGATACCGAGAACCGAACTGACGTGTCGATTCATTAACCGCCGAGAAATCTGCATGCGATTACGACTGGACGATGATGACAAACAGTAAATGCACTCACCTCTTCGTCACAGGCTGCTTCAAACACGTAGCACACAAACTTTTTAGCCAGTGAACAGGACGTTTCCCTAGAACAGAAGGAAGGAGGGAGCAACGTTAGCTGCGCACTGACGAAAATCGCGCAAAAAAATCAATGCCATTCCGCGATGATTCGCTCCACGATCATTATTAGATGGATCCTAACCATAACCCTAAGCCTATCTATAACCCTAACCCTAACTACACGCTCAGCTCAGGCCCTAACCCTGACCATGACCCTGACCCTGACGCCACGCACCCGGCTATGTAAGCGAAGAAATCTACGGAGTCTACGCGGCGTCCGCACGACGAGATCTCTGTGTAGGAGTGCTTCAGCAGCACCTTGCACGAGTTCTTCAGCGTCACCGTCACGTCCGTCTCGCCGAGCTCAAAGTACACCTCTTGTTTCTCGATGTCCGACGCGTTACGCAGCACCTCCTGGATGCCGTTCTCGATGACGGCGACGCCTCCGTACTGCCGGGGGAGAAGAACGCGGGAAAAACACGAGAATGTGAGGTGAAGCGTCATTCAGATGTTGTGACGTCGTAGACTTATGACAGTCGGAACTATGTGTGACGTTTGACAATTATGATTTCTGACAACAGGCTTTGTAACGAGTATGTACAGTAAGGTTGTAACGAGTGCTGAACGATATTCATTTTCTTTGAGAAAGGTGTCGATACGTAGCAACTGACAGTGGTCAGAACAAGCCTTTGAATCAACAGTTAATTTCTGGCTTGTAGGATAAGGCAAAGGTGTGCAACACTCACCTCACCCACGTCCACCCTGCCAACGTACTTGACAAGATAGTTTGCTCTGAAACGCGAAAAGTCAGCCGTTATAGTCTGTAGCTATCAAGTGATTTATGGTGAGAATCGCTCTACATGGTAATCAGGAAAAGACCGATCGTGTTGGTTTACCGCTATTCCTACACGAAACGTCACCATATAGTCTTTGATATCAATAAAATTTACCGTGAGAAGCGTTGGGGGAGAGGGGC